TGCCTAGGCGTGGCCCCATCACGGGTGCTGCGCCCCGGGACCTCCGGGCCACACCCGGGGCTGGGTGCCATGAAAGGAAACGCCTAGGGGGAGAACTAGGAGGGAGCAGTAAGTAACCCGGGTCCGAGCAGCTGGGTGGTGCGCGTGGGGAGCAAGTAGCTCGGAAAGCAGGTTAGAAGCGCCATTGCGATCGGCTTCCTGCCAACGACTGAGCTGTACGTGCGCTCGGAGCCGAGACAGGAACTGGGAGGGCTAAAGAGAGACTACCTTGTTCTCCTGGGCAGGGATAAAAGGGGGCCCTCCGACACCCAAAAGGGTCGTGCTCCAGGTGAGGCTCGAACTCACAACCTCGGCATCGCTCTGCAAGCACTGCTGTATAAGTACCGCGCGCTAACCGATTGCGCCACTGGAGCTCCGCTTATTTGCATTTGTAAACTGGGGCCAATAAGGGGCATTTTGTAGTGATTTAAAACAAGCAAATATGAAAAATTGCTTAATAAAAATATAGGCTCAAGTCATTCTTCTCTATAAACTCTGTGACAAATCGCTAGTGTAGAACAATTATTTACTATGTGCAGTTCTGGGATGAAGGGCAGGCATGGTTACTTTTGCCTGACTCATCTATGGCTCAGACAGAAACTTCTTTGAAATGCAAATATTGCTATCTTATAATTTATTGGGTGAAATTAACTACTGAGAGGTGCTCTTAAGGGAAAATGAAAAGATGACCCAGGACAGCGCTTCTTGTTGATGTTAAGTCTGATGTACAGGAAGGTGTGGTGCTTCCTGAAAGTTGTGGCTTCAGAGTGACTGGAGATCACACAGAAGAGCTGATTGAAGGGACAGTTTTGTGTGAAGGAGACCATCATAGTGGAGCCTCTAGTGCCGTCCATCCATTCCTGGCCCACCTCTGGTATCAGCCTCAGCTGCAGTGGAGAATTACATACAAGTTTGTGTGCATTTACCTGGTTCTGACAGCACCCCATCACTTGCAGGCTGGGAGCCCCTCTGCTTTCTGCTCTGGCCTCCTCTCTGTCCTGGGAGCCCACATGGCCTGCACAGCAGGGCAG